CTTTAGCAAAAACAACAAACAATGCCTGGTGTTCAACAATTTAAAACTTTGTACATTTAAATAGTCTTTGTTTTTAATTCTATTACTTTGCTGAATAAAATAAATACCAATACAGCTATTAAACACTAAAACAATCTCCAAAAGCAAATCATATTTTGACATGGTCTCCATACAAAACTGTGTCGCACGGTGATGTCAATAGCCGTGGTTGACACCACCTACTCTTTGATTTTGCATGGTGGTGTCAATAGCCGTAGTTGACACCATCTACTCTTTGATTTTGCTTGGGGGTGTCAATAGCTGTAGTTGACACCACCGGTGGTGGCAATAGCTTCTAGTTGACACCACCGGTGGTGGCAATAGAGCTACCCAAAATAAATTCATAGGGATAATAGCGGTAAAACGGACAATACAAGTAATGGTGATCTGTACAGTGATGATGATTTTTGTCAATCTGAAATTGATCGTGATCGTTATTGGTTTGAGAAGGGCTACAGGGGTCTGACTAACTCAAAAAAATTACATGAATCTAGAGAGTACATAAAATCGTTCATATACAATGAAATAGTAAATAATAAAATTGATAGTTCACGTATAGCAATCGGAGGTTTTTCACAAGGAGCGGCATTAGCACTATACACAGAATTAACGTTTGAATATAAATTAGGTTGTTCATTTGTACTGAGTGGATTTTTACCTAGTGATATCACGACATTTAATAACACGATTAAAAATCGTGTTAATTTACGAACAAGTATATTTATTAGTTATGGAGGAAGAGAGGACAAAAAGTATATTGATGAGATTGAATCAGTGATTGAAGATGTACTAAAATTCAATTCTATCCCACATGTGTATAAAAAATATGATGCTTTAGCTCATGTTATGTCATTCGCCGAATTAATTGATGTGGCAAATTTTCTTAAGAAATGTATCCCACAGTAACAATCAGCAACTAAAAACTCATTCACTTTAATCACGTATTGAATGAAACATAGATTTTCAGTTTTTGTTTATGATTGATCCACGATTTATTAAAGCAAAATTACAAGAAGGTAAACAAATGCAAAATATTCAAACATATACACAAATACTTCTATTAACTGTTACTACTGGTTTACATATGCCTGGAATATTAGAAGATTGGAGTCATTTAATCAAACATGGTGAACATTATTATAAAAATTTAAAGAATTATCAAGATTTTAAATATCAATTACAAAAACTATCGGAAGATATTGATTCTCGCAACAAAATAAGAAATTATCCATTTGAATCGTTTAATCCAAAATATATTGAATGTTCAACATCCGTTTAAACAACAAAAAACCTTTAGATGCTCCTGTTTTACCTTTAGTTATGCAACGAAATGTTGTTGTTGTTGTGGTGGTGGTGGTTTTAGTTTCTAAAGCAAAAGTTTTCTGATTTCAAATAAGACGTTTTAGCATCGGTATGATCAGTATTAAACTTCAAGATATCTTAACCGAGGTGAATAGCTTGGGTATTTTATTGATAATACGAGATTTTCTTGCACCAAGTGAGCGTTAGCATTCTAACTCTAAGCGTCTTTTCTCACCACTCACACTATTGCTACTAGTTATGTATCAATTGGCTTATTGTATTATTGCATTGGTTATGATCTGTAAACAATTTCGAACTGGTCTCTTACTGGTAAGCCTTTTTCCTCAGACACTAATACATTTCAAGTCTTTGCTCTTTTAGATCGGTTGGCTTGGTTTTATTAATTTTATAATCCTCTGTCTAACTGTCGTATTCCTCTTAATTGTATTCATTGTCAATCTAATTCAAATTCATCATGATCGTGATAGTCCTTCTTCCTCTTATGGTCACTATGATAATCGTGCGCCTTATAGATATCATTACGCAGAGAGTCAAGCTCGGTTAAGTGGAAGTCTATTTGGAGGGTGTACGATACTTGCAGTTGTATTAGTATGTAGGAGTACTAATGACAGAGGAACTTGGACTTCCTTGTTTTTTTATTCCTTGCAGGATTTTACAATTACATACACTTTCGAAATGGCACGATTAATTAAAGAACAGAAGCAAGGACGTAATGTAGTGGAATAACGAACGAAGAAATAGAAACATGAAATAACTTTTTTACCAGAAGTTGTGATTTGAAAACAGTATTTGTCTATAAAAGAAACTCTGTTACTGAGTTCTAGTCGAGATCTTTTCAAAAGTGCGCTTCTAGATCTGTTCTCTCTAGAGTTACAGAAAATGTCTGTTTTCTAATTAACTTGTTAAATCACAGCTGACAGAAAATACTAGCGATATAAAGGAATTCTTGTTCTATAAAATAATTCTTTTCTTTTTTCCTTTCTTGGTGTTTCAAGGGTCAAATGACTGGGAATACATTAGGTTCTTAGGGAAAAGTGGCGTTATCGAAACAGAAAATGGCTGTCTGTGAACTCGCTAGTTGGGATTGCTACTCCTTAATGAGAGATTCTTACACGAAACAGCATGAGACTCCTAGGTAATGCGTTAGAGAACCAAAACACAGAGATAGACGTAAAAGTCTTCTGAAACATGCCTGCTTGTGCGTGTACTCAGTTAAAGAGTAAATAAGATGGAAAGTTGCACATAAACAGACAGTTGCACCGCAAATTCTTCTCGTGTGTAAAAGTGGATTCAAAAGTCGGGAAGCGTGTCATTCTATCAATAATGATTTTCTTCTTGTAACAAAGACTATACTCGTAATAACCGCCAGGGTAAGTACGTACACACGTTTATCTAATTATGCATTGTCATTCATTCAATCCGGTTTATAATACATTAAACCGGAAAATTAATCAGCATTAGAACAAAATGCAAGTACAACGAGTTACGTTGTACGGCGCAATGATATCGTCGGGCGTCCGACACTTTTTGGACTCTGTGGCTCCGCTGGTGATTTTGACGGTATATTAAACTATATTCACCAGTAGACATGAAACACACTTCGTTTACTTTTCTTTGATCATATTTTTCCAATCCAGAAAAAGATCCAAAGTCATGCGAGAGAACTGAGTGTCTTTCTCAATGTTAGCATACAAACAAAATTGTTTATATTATAAAACAGTGAAATTTAGCAAAAAGCTTAAAAACATTGCGAAAAAAGGTATTGAAAAACTAAACACATTTAACGAGTTTTTCTATTTTACATGAACAAAAAATAGCAAGTTTTTAACCAATTTCTTAGACAAGCCTGTGAGATCTCTACCGTCCGAACGTCGAATTCTTCATTCTTTTATTAACAAGATCTGTCTATAAGTTACTAAAACATGATGAATCATCTATGGATCTCGTGCAAGAACGTTTGGAAGCAAACAGATGGAATTTGCACATCACGAGTGGAAGACAGATCTACCAACAGAGATAATCAGCGTCACGATAGCCACGAGAAATATATGAAAAAACATTTGAGAAAACGCATTTATTTTAACCATCCTCGTTTTTTTTCATAACTTTGTAGAGCACATCAAGCTGTATACACCCTGAAGTGTTTTCGATGAACAGATTTGTAATTGGTGTGAAAAGAATTTTTTACAAACTCCACACGATTTTAATCTTCTATTTAAAAAATCTATATACATTTGACTGATGCTACTAATGAACTATCATCAGAACTACGTTCAATCGTTAATTCAAAATCAATACTTTCATTCAACGTTATTGGTGGCTGTTGTTCTTTGCACCATTTATTCAATCCAAGCATTAAAAAAGATTTCGGACGCCCAATTCAGCTAGATTATTAGTTTTTTTAGTCGATTGCAATGAATTGGTAACGGCAGTGGAAATCTAGTCATCGGGCGATTGCTAGATTTCTTCTAGTTGCAACTATCGATTTATCGCCCGATAAGCGATCGATTTAACTATTGCTAGTTACATATGCAGATGCATCTAGTTAAAAGTCCCTTTTCCAACTAGTAATCTGGATGACAACTGGTCGTGTATCGCCCGATTACGGACGAAATGTATCTAGATTTTTCCCATAGAAGATGTTTGCTTGAGAATGTATTTATTAAATAATTATAATGCTTTTAGTCATCTTTGTCTGACTCATGAACAATTTTTTTAACGTTGATATTGTTCAATGGTTTTGTTTTCGTTAATGATGATTGTTTGAACTGTGTTGAGAATGTTGAATTTTGTTGTTGTTTTTAATACAATTCACGTAAATCATGAAGAAAACTATCAACTTTACTTTTTAAACCACCTTTGATAATAAATTTTACGTCATCTCCATTTTTAACGTCAAAAGAAACTTATTCTTTCATCTCCTCCAAATCTTTAATATCATTATTAAATATTGCAAACACATCATCATTATTTTGGGGTAAACTAACTGTCGTATCATAACCTTGAAGTTCTAATATTTCTTTTGGCATCTGACCGATTTCTTTCTCAATAAAATTATAAAAAATTATATCTTTTAATTTCAACACATCGTTTAAAATAAGATGTTTCATTTTTTTACTGTTTAATTGTGTTCAGTTGATGAGAAAATATGTTTTTCAAAATGAGATAGAATAATAGCTGTACAAACGTACAGATTAGAACAAACGAGACGTTATATTGAATCAATCCATGTAGCAGAAAAAGGAATTTTTTACTGAATGTGAGTGCATATAGAAAGCGCTTGAAGCGATTCAAGCGGTAACAATTTTGAAGACATCCCTAAACGAAAAAGTCTGCAACAAATTGTCCGTGGCGAAACGACAAATTCACCTGGCATCGAACTCCCATTCCCAAGTAGTTTATTATGATCTGTTATTATTCTTTTTCATGTCCAAACTTCGATACAACCATTTTGACAATTAAATAAATAATTATTAGTATCAAAAAGATGATCTAACGTTTATTTTAAATACAGATACGCATTTTCATAATAATATTTTGATTATAAGTCCAAAAAGGAACTTCTAAATAATTTAATGTTAAATATGATGTACGTAGAATAGGTATTATACATATATAGATCATAGTTGATTTTAATTTACTTGAAAATAATAATTTTAATATTTTAATATTTTGAAAAAATTTCATATAAATTGATAAATTTTGATAATTTTTGTCATTTATTTCAGTTATATTTAATTCATTGATATGATTAAAATACTGTTGATAAATACTATGGCGAGTAATTTTATCAATATTTAAAAATATATTACAAGAACTGAAATTATCAACTTTTAAAATTTTAATATTTGCTGTCATTAAAAATAAATATTTCATATTATTAGAACATTTTTCTGTAGTAAATTCTAGAAGATAAAAGTGAATGTCATGACAATATTTTAGTATTGGAATATTATTATTATTATTTTTTTCTTCTTCTTTTTTAAAAGTGTTGATAGATATTTAATGATTGGAGTTTAACAAATTTTTGATTTAATAATCGAAATTGATCATAAGTTGTGAATGATTTATTCAATGTTACAGACTGAACAAGTTTATATAAGTTCTTATCATTCATAGTATTATTATTATCTAAAGAACAAGAACAGTAATTACTAAGATTATGAGATAAAATAAATTACCATTATCTTTATGTGATAATGTATAAAGATAATAATATATGTAGAAATTTGAGGTGGAGAATTGATGACATACAATAACATTAATAATTTTTTCGTTTAATAATTTTAACCAAAAATTATTTTGTAGTAAATGTTGATATAATTTTTGATGTTGTCGTTGTTCGAGTCAAACAAAAACGAAAATAAAATTTTGATTCACATAAGTTTTTTAAATTTGATAAGCAATTTTCAAGACATTATTCATCAATAATATCAGTGGAATAATCTATAATAAACAGAGAAAATACTTATACATAAAAGGTTGTATGCCACAAGACAAATATGAAGTATATGAAGCGGAGTGACTCTTTTGAAAATGTATCAGAGTTTACATCGATTTTATCTCAACAGGTCGAAAGTAATCGGACTAGCACAGCTCGAGCTCTTGATGACGAATATCATATTTAAAACGTTTTAAAACAACGGCATCGTGGCCTTCTAGACATGTGGAGATTCAGAAGAAGTGTTTTTCCAGCAAAAATACCACAGGATTTTCGTCTGTTTCAAATGTCCTTGGGCATAAAAGCAAAACCCTGTTGTTTTAATAGCCCACGTCGAGTACATGCGAAATATATGTCACCTCACATCCTGTAATCCCGTGGAATGGTGCAGCGCGTACTCAAACTTTGAAAGACGAGGAAAAGCGCCTTTAAAAGTTGTTTTGTTCTATCATTAGATGGTTTTTAATTTCGAGTCTGTCTGAATAACATACATTTCGTTTTTCTCGTGAAATGAGAAGTTATGAAACCGTGATTTTTTCATGGTAGATAGTACTTGACGTCTATCATATAATGACATACAAATATTACGTATACCTCTTACCCCATACATTACAGCAAGACCGAAACGGAGCTTGATGGAGCACTTTTGTGAGCGATCGATCTCGTTATTATGAACTTACGTTGAAGTCGGACTACTTGCAGCAGATAATACTCTCAGTGTATTATCTGAAATCACCGTCAAAAGTTTGGAGTATGCAAATTTGTAAAAGAAAGTTTTGCGACCAAAGTCGAAGTAAACGGTCGGCGTAAACCTTCTCTTTGAAGGTCTTTTCTGTCTTAATGAAAAACTATATATCTTTCAAAAGAATGTCATTGGATAGCTCGTAAAATTCTCTGGAAACTGAGCTGGTCAGAATATCTCGACAGATGGGCCAGTCGTTAAAGATATGCAAAAGAAGCGTGTGAGTGTTATATATGCAGTACAGTGTATCATAATCATAAGAACTCCTTTGTTTTTTGTTTTTCAGCCAAGGTACAAAGTATTCGATTTATGTGAGAAAAAGAAAGAGAAACATTCTTATGGTGGCAAAGGGAAATACGAATGATGGAGATCATTAGACAGATGATTCAAATATTTTAGCAGTGATAGAAGATTTTATTTCAGTTACTTTCTTTTGCTTGTTGAACTATATGAATGTAATAGAGATTGATGCATGAATAAAGATCTACTCGATGTTTCGAACTTTACCATCAACTATGTCCGCTATAAGATAGAGTGTCATGGCTTGTTGACCTTGCAACATTTTGTTTACATTAATCCAAACAGAAGCAATGCTGCTTCACTTCATTTCAAAAAGTAATTCATGCTATGCGCTCATCCAAAGTAAAAAAAGAATTGCCGAGATAATGAATCTGTATACCTTTTATAGATGTCCAGAGCAATGGAGACGCCCGCTGTCCAAAGTGTTTAGTACTGCTGTAATTTGTATAACTTTTATTTCTAGGCCGCAAAATAATTCCTCTCAAAGTATTAAATTAAAGGTTAAACCAAGTATTAAATTGCACTAATCCTGTGACTTTCATCAACTGAACAGTCACCTAGAAGCATTACTTGTCGTATTTTTCAACCAGCAAAAAACACACTCGTTCAGATGTACCTTAATTTGCCGACACAAATTGTCTGCATTAATGAATAGAAACTTGGAGAATGATATCCTTATTATAGTGACAAATGTTTGTTCCGGTTAATCAAAAACTGCATTTCAATTGCTACGCTGATCTTAGGTATTTTGCCTGAAAAGTAAAAGAGACATTGGACAACGCAGGCATGGAAGCAATTAGTTTGAAATTAATATAACATCTTTGCCGTTAAGAATCAGTGAGTTTTGCAACCTGAACAGATAGTTGTGTGGATCTGTTATGCACTAAATTGAAAATTCGGACTATGAATTACTCGCACAGCATTCGTTTATTTGACTTCGAATTCCATGCACATTCTGCATAATTACGTTAAACTTCAAAAGAATGATTTTAGATAGCTGTGATATCGAACTGTGTTGGCATTGGTTATTGTTATACAATGTGTCTACAAGGAAGAGTAGGATACAATTCCATGAGTTTGTTTATTCTAACCATCTGTCTGATGATTGATGCTGCCTGATGGAGATTATTATAGAGGACATAGTTGATGGTAAAGTTCGAAACATCGAGTAGATCTTTATTCATGCATCAATCTCTATTACATTCATATAGTTCACAAACAAAAGAAAGTAATTGAAATAAAATCTTCCATCACTGCTAGAATATTTGAATCATCTGTCTAATGATCTCCATCATTCGTATTTCCCTTTTCCACCATAAGAATGTTTCTCTTTCTTTTTCT